TTTCTCCTACTTAGTATATAATAGCATCTAAAAATAATATGTAGTAAATTATATATGTAGTTTCTAGTAAATAACTAGGAAGTCTGTATGGCACAGATATATATCATACATAAATCAAAATAGTAGCATTACTGTTTCATAATCTGCCAAAATACCAGGAAGAGAATTCTGTGCCCAATTTCACATTTACTAACTATAAAAGTTTAGACACCAAATAAACCAGTTTTTATAGTAACATTCTTCCTTACTTAATAGGACTTGCCTGAAAATCCATGGGGAAAGTTGTCTGTTCATCTCTATTTTGATGGAATGTCACTTTCTCATTTTATGGCACATCATAAATATTGTATTTTTGAACATTCTGAGGAGATATTTCAAGAAGTAAGTATTTTCCTATAAAAATCTACACTTAGAACAAATGATTCCAATTAAAATGTTACACTTAGTCTATACCTCAAGTTTTTTGTTGTTTTTGTATTTGTTATTGTGAGAAGAGAAACAGAGTCTTCTGTAGCCCATATTGGCTTTAGACTTCTAACATTCCTTCCTTTACCTTCAAGCTGCAGGGATTACAGGCATGTGCCGAACCTGGCTTACACTTCAAGGCTTAATGTGATTTTACATATCTGAACTATTAAAGGAGTCTAAGATGAAAATTTATAAATTCTTTGTTGAGAAAGTAATACAATAACTTGTCATGCGTTATATGTCCTGAAATCTCGACCAATGTTTCTGTACCTTCAGAAGCCTTAATAATGCACCCATATGTTATCTAGTGTTGAATATGGAATGCACAGTATAAAATCTAAATAGAATTTAATGCCAGAAAAAAGCTCTGCCCCCAAATAGAATGTTTCCTTTGAATTTATATAAAACCATTGCAGATTGAGTATCCTTAATCCAAAAATCAAAAATCTGAAATCCTCTGAAATTGAAAGTGTTTTGAGAGCCAACATAATGCTTAAAACATTTCACATTTTAACTGGGTATGGTGGAGCATGTTGTATGTGGGAGGTGGAAACGAGTGATATCAGAATTCCAGGCCAGCCTGGGCTACATGAGACCCAGACCCAAATAACAAAACTTGAGTTTATGATTTTTGTCTTTTTTGTTTGTTTTTAAGCAGTACTGGAGATGTAACCTAGAGCCTTATGCATGCTAGCCACTGCCCTACTACTGAATTATGTCTCAGCACTCTCTTTATTTTATTTTTTGGTCTTTTTGAGACAGGGTCTCCCTGTAGCCCCAGCTGTCCTGGAACTCACTATGTAGACCAGGCTGGCCTTAAATTCACAGAGATCTGCCTGCGTCTGCCTCCCAAGTGCTGGGATTAAAGACGTGCACCACCATGCCTGGGCTGTCTCTTTACTTTTTGAGACAGGGTCTGACCAAACCAGTCTTCATCTCACTCTGTAGTACAGACCAGCCTTGAACCTGGGACCCTCCTGCCTCAGTCTTCCAAATAGTTAGGACTGTAACAGGCCTGTATCAACAGACTCAGCTAACATTTCAGATATTGGAGCATTTCAAATTTTCAGATTAGGAAGACTTAACCAAAATTGGTATAAATATCCCCAAATTCAAACTTTTAAAATCTGATTCATTCTCGTACCAAGAATAAGGGATATGCCACCTGTATAACTTATTTCCCATTAGCCTTCTCAAGAGATATCCATACCCACACATTGAGCTGAGCTTTAGTAAAGCTCATTCCAGTTGCCTGGTACATACAGTGTGGAAGCTTAGAGGCCAACTTTGGGTGTCATTTCACAGTTACTGTTCACCTTTTTGTGGTTGTTAAGAGAGGGTCTCCCTGAAGGACTGGAATTCCCTATGCAGACCAGACTGGCCTTAATCTCTCAGAGATCTGCCTGCCTCTGCCTCCTGAGTGCTGGGATTAAAGGCATGTGCCACCACATCCAGCTTTGTCCACGTTTTTTTGAGACAGTGTATCTATCTCACTGGCCCAGAACTCACCAAATAGACTAGGCTAGCTGGTCAGCAAGCCCCAGAGATTCTCCTGTCTCAACCTCCCCAGCATTGGGATTGCAGGCCCATACCACCATGCCCAACTTTTTTTATAATGTGTGTTCTTGGGGTTGAACTCAGTTCCACATGCTTGCAAGGCCAGCACTTTACCAATTCCTAACCTTTGTGCTTTCATTTTTAATATTTACTATTTTACATTTCAAGTTATTACAAATCTTTTAGAGGACTATACATAATAATATGTTTTTTTCTTTTTTAATATTTAAAGCTTTTTTAGTGTGTGTTTGTGTGTGCGTGTGTGTGTGATGAAGCACACAAGCATTCATGCTGTGGCCAATGTATGGAAGTTAGAGGACAACTTGCCAGAGTTGGCTCTCTCCTTTCATCATATGGGCCCCAGGGATCAAACTCAGGTGATCAGGCTTGGCAGTAAGCACCTTTACCTGTTAGTAAAGATTTTTTTTTCTTTTTTTCTTTTTTTTTTTGGTCCTTTTGAGACATGGTCTCCCTGTAGCCTCAGCTGTCCTGGGACTATGTGGACCAGGCTGGTCTCCAACTCATACTCACAGATATCTGCCTGCCTCTGCCTCCCAAGTGCTGGGATTAAAGGCGTGTACCACCATGCCTGGCTTTCATTAGGCTTTTTAAAAATACTGTAAATAGGTTCTTTAAGAAAACAACAGATTTCAAACAAACACTATGTTCTGTTCAACATAGAAAACACTTTCTTGTGCTGGGAATATCAGTCAATGATAGAGTGAGTGCTTGCCTAACATGCATGAGGTCCAGCACCACTTTAAAAAAAAAAAGCTCACCTCCTCTGCTTCCCTGGGCCTGCTACACGTGCAAGCCTCTCTCTGACCCTCAGCCTCTCTGTGGGGGGTAAGTCGATATTACCCTCAGCGCCTTGACTTCCCCAGCTTCATTCACCCTCCCATCTCCTCTACCCATCTCTCCTCCTAGCCTGGGACCTGTCCCATTGCTTGTCTTGGCGCCACAGACACGGGGGAACCACCACTGCTTCCTGATCCTTTGCATCCAGACCAACCCAGTTCATTCTGGGGGCCCCAGGAGCACTCTGGGCCTGGCCCCGCCCTCACTTCCCTCTGCTTCCCTGGTCTGCACAACCCACCAGCCTCTTTCCTGGATCCAGGGGCTGATCCTTTGCATCCAGACCAACCCAGCTCCTCAGTGCAGTTCCCAGGAGTCCTTGGGGCCTCTTCCCACCCTCATCTCCCTTTGCATCTCTGGGTGGCATGGCCACCAGCTGCCCGAGACCAGCATCTTTCCTGGGCCCTGCTCCCAGGCCAGTTCAACCCCCAAATTCCTGAAGCCAAAGTCTTTCCTGGAGGGATCCAGACCTTAGGAGAAAGCCTGAGAGCATCTGATCCTCATCTGACTTGGGCATCTGTGGGAACTCCTGAAGACAAAAGCAATCTGGCCACTCCAATATGAAATCAAAAGAGAGAACCGGAAGCTTAGACGAACCAGCTTTTCATGCCCAAAAAGTAAACCACAAAGACACATAAAGTTCACAAAAAGAAGCAGACCTAAACTTGAAGGCTTGAATCTCACACAAGAATCAGAAACTACAAAAGACATTCACATGTCAAAGTCACAGAGAAAAAACAATAACATGAAAAACAAAAATAACATATCCCCACCAAACAACAGTAATCCTCTAGAGGAGCACAATGAGAACCCCTTAGAGACAATGCGGGACATGGAACTCAAAAGAACAATGATGAATATGATAAAAGAATTCAGTGAATTTAAAGAACTCACAAACAAGTTAATCGTGGAGCTGAAGGAAGATAGGGATAAACTTCTGAATGAATTCAGAAAAGAGCTAGAAATATTGAAGAATACTCAGGCTGAAATAAAGAACGAAGTGAAACACTCCATAAGCCAATTACAAACGACAGGAGAAAGCCTCAACAATAGGATGAATGAAACGGAAAACAGAGTATCAAGACTGGAAGATAAAGTGGATGAACTGGACCACTCAAGCAAAGATTATGAAAAATTTAAGAAATCACAAGAATGGAATATGCAGGAATTGAGTGATACCATAAAAAGACCAAACTTGCGAATCATAGGCATACA